GTTGTGTTTACTTCTCTTCCTACCGCCCTCCCCGGTTCTTCTCCGCCCTAGCCTAGCCAGCCAGTCAGCCACTTGTGCACCCACATGGATCGCCCATGCCAGCGACGGCGGCATTCGTTCGTCTAGTTCGCCCATTCATTCGCCCATTCGCTGTCGGCTACATCATTGCTCGCGGTCGCTCCAGCGTTTAGATCTCTGTTGTACGCCGTTGATTGTCAGCCGATTTCTATTAATATTGCAAATGTACAATTTGTTTTTGTTTGTTTTATGTTATTGGTGTTTACTAGACGAACGCATTCCATTTACGATTCTGATTGCTTGATTTTCCGTCAAACTTGTGACATTCTTACGCATCTGTGCAAACTTATGTCACTCAATGTAACAAACAATCGTCGCATGATTCTCACAACTATTCTACGGTAACGCAGTTTTGGCGATTGCACTGTATACGGTACTTTTCGTATTTCTGCGCATAATTCATCACCTGAGTGCCGTACGATGATCTGGTCATTTGCAGATAGACTTCTGCTAAAGAAACATATTGCAGGTACTTCAGTACTTGTCTATGAACAAAATAAGCCAATGTCTTGTTCATCCATCTTGCATGCAGACCTTCTCATCGACGTACACATTGCTTCGCCTACACATTAGAAAATTACGAAATGAAGCTGATGACTTATGCCCAACACCTCATGTCAAACCTGTAAACCTACTTCTACCATCATTTCTGTACTACCAAGAATAACGATAAACTTTAATATCTTTAAAATGTTAAACCCAAATAGTTCTTTTCTCATATACTAAACAAGACAATTAAATTAACAGTATCTCTATCATGTAGATGATGGCGATTCAGATGTATGACACATTAATATTTATCCCGCGCTTATTTGAAATTTGTCAGCTGAAGGCGGCAGTCCGCGAAGTCCTTAAAGTTTGCATTATGGACTCAGAAAATAGTATCGTCCTGCATCACGACAGGCTGAAAACCATTCTCTGATATTCTTTTAACCACTTTTAGTAGTAGGATTCTATGAAAGGTTTGTCGATTGCATGTTTGGTTTGCTGACATTATGCTAAATGAGTAGAAACATTTTGGAAAAGAGGTAACATAATTCTATCCCTTACCGGAATTCTAAGCGGCAGTTATGCCGTTCTCTTGGTTTAAGATGGCTAGAGTATTTTTTCAACAGACCGCGGCTCCATGGTATATGAGCAGCTGCAGTGCGTGGAGGCTACACCGCTCTGAGTGTCCGAACACTAACGGAAAAATAAATCCCCCCGCCACCCTCTCAACCCGCTAGGTTGAACCATTCCCCCTCGTTTGTTGGCATTTAGTTCAATATATTCCCTAATGTCATCACCTTTGTCTCTCTGGAAGCTCGTGCTACAGGTCCAGAATTTAGTTCAGTGTTGTCAAGAGCGATTGGAATCTTTTAAACATTGGTTAAATTATCCTAGTTTTCTTTTCTGTTTATTCTACAGTGGTGATCCCTGGCGAGTGATAAGCTAATAAGGAATCAATTTGCTAGTTTGGCAGGCCTGTTGGAAATCCACAGCAATCTTTAGTCAAGCTAGAACCGTAGATATACCGTATTTGCTGCAGACTTTGTTTCTTAATTCGCTGTGATCCTGATGATTGCTCCCGATTCTTTAAGGGTAATTTTACGATCCAGATTTATTTTCATTCGTGTTTCTGATTGGGGCGTAATTGCTTCTCGACAATTAATCTTCATTCTCATATGCGGTCAGAACCCGTGAATGTTGTTTTCGACCTTAACGCCTCAGGACGTCTTATCGAAAAACCTTCATAAAGATTTGTTGATGTTTCTTGTGGATTTGGTATCCTGAGAATGTTTTTACTATAAGAAAATCTCACAATTCTACAGAATGAAGACAAGTGCATTGTAATGAAGTGAAGCCGAATGTATTCTATGCCGCTAATTATGTCCCTAATGATGGACTAATCCAATGCTGTCCAAAATGTCATTTGTGAAATAATCTCCAGCAATGAAATCAGACAACTTCCTCAAAATGGAAATAACTTCATGACGAGGAATAGAAAAGAGCATTCTCATTATCACCAGTGTAACTGTCATCTGTTTCCCTCGAAATATCAATGGGCGAAAAAAACTATGAACTCTCTACTGAAGCGTAATGCGAAAAAAATTTCATTCCGATTATGAATTAGACTCATGTTGTGAATCGCCTAATGTTTTAGTTATGTGGAGCTAAAGATGGTGCATGAAGCTTATTTGACTTCGTTCACTGCATCTCTAATGAAGTAACATCGGTAATTTGTAACTTTCCAGAAATGTTTGTCACAAAATAAGCTTCTCCGATCAACCACGGAACTAGAAGATTTAATATTAATAGGAAGTTTGTTATTCATTAAATCTCGGCATGGTCCATGCAAAAGCTAAAAATCTGCTCATGTTATTTTCAGGTCGCCTCGCTAAAGTTCAAAATTGTAATTTGGTGCTGAAAATTTCAGGAGAAATAGCCATCGAGAAATCTGATAGCAAATTCGGAAATATAGTCTACAAATTGCTACCTTTTTATATATCAGTGATGTATGGCTGCACACATTTCCTTGTGCTTTCTTTAAGTCAAATTGTATCTAGGAAGCGTGCAAAATTGTGTTATTTATCACCTTATGCCAACTTAGTACTTTGTACTTTTTCAGGTACACAATTTTAAACGTACTAGTTTGAAAATTAACTGTGGCAATTAGCACAAAATCTATAATTTATGGCGATCAACTTGCCCTAAACTTCAGTCATATTTCACAACACCAAGTTCTGGTGTCTGATTTATCTTCGTTATGACTGCAGCGGTATTAAGATGTGGAGGTACTAACTCATGCGTTGAAGGCCAAAGTGATACCAGAATGTTGCTTGCGGTATTCACAGAAAAATACGATAGTTTCAAATTTGACTCCTTCGGTTCGGGTCTCAAACTATGCAATTATGCAACGTCATTCAGAGTTGCCATTTCAAGAATATCAGAAATATGCCGAGAGGAGATTTCGCTGCCTTGGCTAGTGCAAGCAGCGAGAATCGGTCTGCTCATCACTTGGCAGCAAATGGCACCTAGCGTAATGAAAGTATCAGGGGTCCCTTGGATTACCTAACCATTGTGCCAATGAGCTTCAAAATTGTGAGTGATGATATGCTGACAAATTGTCAATTTTACTCCCACCCAACCACGGTAAAATCACGACATTGATGCAATTGCAATCGTTAACCTCGAAACAGATTTATTGTTTAACATTTCGTAGCAGTTGTGATATTACGCAAGCGTCAGAGTAGTTTTGAAAGTGTGGCATGGCAGTAAGAAACGGTGATCATTATTTTTGATGAATGAATGGGGCCAAAAAACTATTTATGAGGCGTTCTCGTTCAAGAAGTCAATTGGCACGCATGCATTGTAGGAAGCCAGACAGGAAGTTCCTTCTGAAGTGATTTGGATGCATGAGACTGTCTCTGAAATGGTACAAGAAGGAAGCACAAAATTATAAATGCTACAAGAGAAGTCAAACCAGGTAGGGCAAAAAAAGGCTGGTGCTTTCTGGTAATTTGCGACCAACCAGAATAGAAGGAAGACCTGCAAAAGTATTTACATGCTATGTAATCTTATGGGACCCTATTTTTCAACAAACCAAAAATAGCACATTATTACATACTGAATAAACGCTATACGCTGCAATACTGTCATTGATTTGTGATCACTAGCAGCAGCGATCAGACTACCTTACTTCAAATACACAGGCGCTTAAGATATACTCTATGTAGTACTAACATTGACTGTTTGGAACTCTTGTGACAGGGAAACAGAAGGGCACTTTCACCTTTCAATCTTCTTATGACAACTCTATAAAGTTATAATTGGCATATTCTACATCTGGATCTGAAAGAAACTAAATTTTGGAAGGCATATATATACCCTGAGGTATACGGTGACTTTGCCATTCTCCAACCCTCCTTCTTTCTTTACGAACGCAGCAACGGTAGAGTTTAGTTCTGTTTATTTGAAATTTAAATTTTATATGGGAGGTTTGTTAAATGTTCAGAATATTTATTAGTATACAATTAGCTGCAACGGTGGCATA